TAGGAAAGAAAGGCCTCTCTTACTCTGCCCCTCCATTTTTCCTACAGAACTGAGGGGAAGAGGCTCCACTCCCTAATCCACCCAATGTTTCCTTGTGTCTCCAAGAAGGACGCCTGCTTCCGTGGAGTGAGGGGCAGCTTTACCTGCTGTCCTGTCTGCGGCAATTCAGAGTATACAGTCTAGCAGCTCCTCTGTGGGGAGTTAGGTGGGCAGCGGCTTCTCCCTGTCCATAGCTGCCCCTGCTCCCACCAGAGAATCGTAGAAAAGTAATAAATAGTCACTTGGGTTTTCCACCCAAGTAGTCCATGCTAAACTCCGAAGTTCCCGGTTGGCCTCTGACTGGGACATCAGTTGGCAGTGGCCCGAGATTGCATCCACTGGAGCCCAGCAAGCAGCCTGCAGGACGGGAGGGACAGAGCAAGGATCAGTATATCCCATGAGGATGATGGCCCTCGAGCCCCCAGCCCCTGCCCAAAGCCAACTGAATGTGGCAACTGACGTTACAGCAATCTTTCAGTCAATAATATAAACAGACTGAGTATGTACTATGCACCAGCTACTGTGCTAGGCACTGTGGTTACCGGTGAAAAAACAGACACGCCCTCTGGGGCTTACATCCAACAGAGGAGGTGGATATTAAACAAATGATCATGCAAATAATTCCATCACTACATACTGTAATAAAGGTTAGGAAGGAGCTGTACAGAGGCCTCTGGAAGTCTGGGAATCAGCGGGACTTCTCTAAGGAAGGGGCCTGGAGACCTACCTTAGCAATGTCTTTGGGCAAATCTCTAGCGCCCCCTTGCCACCGGCTCCATCGAAGGAGGCAGGGCCAGGGTGACTTCAAAGGCCTGGGAAGAGACCCCCATAAGCAAGTTCTCCCATTAGACTGCTAGCAACACCAGAACGAAAGGTGGGGGGGATAGGGTGGTCTTGGTCATGACTTTATCACCTGGCACAGTGCATGGCACATGGGGGTACTTAGGAAATGCTGGTTGAATTGAACTGACTGGGGGGGGGGGGGGGGAGGGGGTCCTCTTGACCCAGGAGGTAGCAAGAGACCACCGGAAATGTGTGGTTCCTTGGCTGGCCTGACCAAAGCCTCCCCTTCTTTAATCAGCCATCTAGGCCCTTGGCCTCTGTGATTCCACCTGAGAAGGAAAAGGGAAGGGCTCTCTCCAGACCTGGTACGGGCCCTTTCTGTATGACCGTGATCGTGACTGTGACCTAGCGCCTTCACATGCTTCAGGTGTTTGCTCAGCAGCTCCCTTCTCAGCAGCCCCTCCCCAGATAGCTTATCTAAGGTTGCAACATCCGCCCACCTCCATGTACTTCCAATCTTCTTTCCTACCTGACTTCCCCTGAGCACTTAGCACTTTTTAACTTACTACATATATATATTTTTATTTTTATTGTTTATTGTCTGTTTCCTCCCCCCCACCCTACCCCCACAGGAACGTAAGCTCCAGGAGGGCAGGTATTTTGGTCTGTTTTGTTTACCGGTGTTTCTCCAGGGGCCTAGAACAGTGCCTGGCGCAAGTAGGTGCTTAATACACGTTGAATGAGCGGTATCCTTTACTCTCTACAGAAACTCTAGGAGGAAGTAGATTTAATCACCCTCCTCTTTAGAGGTGAGGAAACCCAAGGTCAAAAAGTCGTGATTTCTGCCTCGAAGGCTTGTCCCAGGTCTTCCTGTGGCTCTCTCCTCTTCATTCAGATCTCAGCTCAAAAGACATTTAGTAGAGGCTGCCCCTGGCCACCAGAGCTAAACCAGACCCATCCCCACCCCTCTGTCACTGTGGTCCAAGTTCACGTTCTTCATAGCACTTGTGAGCACCTAAAACGTGTGTGTGTGGGTGGACTGTCGCCTCTCCCCCACTAGAACAAGCTCCTGAGAGCAGGGGTTCTCTTGCTCACGGCTCACCCACAGCATCTCAGCTGTGGGAAGGCGCACAACTGACTTGACTATGAACCAGATTCTGACAGGAGAGGCCGGAGGATGTTCTGATGGTCAGTCATTCATTGGTACCAGTCCCAGGAGGTCCAGGTGGGATGGCCACTAACCCTTCCCCGGTGAGGGCACAGCAGCCCTGTATGTGCCATGGGTGGTCTTTGATGGCACTCAAGGTGAGGAATTGGGAGATCTCCACGGTGGTCATGGAGTCCTTCAGATCCTGCTTATTGGCAAAGATCAGGACAGAAGCATCTCGCAGAGCCTGTGGACAGAGGAGCCCAGCCCGTCAGCCTTCCAGGGCCCAGCCTCCCTCCCCAGTGCCCCTTGAGTGTCCCCTGGCTCCCCTGCTGCCCCAGCAAGAGAAGCCCAAGCCCAAGTGGGGTGGGCATGGGGGCCTGTCCCAACATAGCAACCCCAGCAAATGACACTGACAGCTCACAGATGCCTCCAAGCCAGCTCATAGAATCCCTAGCAGTCCCATGACACAGGAATCGGATGATTCTCCCTAATTTATAATTGGGTAAACAGAATTAGAGAGGCAAAGTAGCTTGCCTGGGGTCCCACCGTGAGTGGGACATGGTTTCAGAACCTGAACCAGCAACTTTGGCTTCTGTGGTCAACTGTGCTGCGGGCATTATCGCCCTTCATCTTAGATAAACTAGCTCTGCCCCAGCCGCTAAGCTAGAGGCTCTCAGAGGCCGAGTCACAGGAATGAAGCTCAGGCCAAGTGAGTAAACACAGGGAGCACACGGGGCCCTCTCCCAGCCGCAGGGGGCTTACCTCGTGGGCCAGCATCTTATACAGCTCCTCCCGAGTGGTCAGCAGCCGGTCCCGGTCCGTGCTGTCAATCACAAGGACGATGAACTGGCCAGCAGAGGGGGACCATGAGTGGTGGGCTTTCCCTTTGGTGAAGGTGCCCTCTGCCCAGCCGTGCTCCCCGCTGGCCTCTGCACTACCCTGATGCGAGTCCCACAGAAAACAAACTGTCCAGTCTCAAGATCTCACTGTCCTAGTCCCATTTTTTTGTCTTACATTTATTTGTTTTTGTTCTAGTCTCATTTTAATCCCCCTTTCCAACCAGACACCCGGAATACACAGCATGACCTCAGATTTCCTGCCAGAGGCTATGCCCTGGGCATTCATGAGTCCATTTAGGCCTCACCACAGCCCTTTGGAACTGACACTGAAGTTGACCCTTGAACAATGCAAGGAATGGGGCAACCAACTCCCACACAGTTGAAAATCCACATATAACTTTGGACTCCCCAAAACTTCAGTCCTCGGTATCCGCAGGGGACTGGTTTCAGGGCCCCTGTGCATACCAAAATCTACGGATGCTCAAGTCCCTTATAGAAAATGGCATAGAACAACAGACTCTCAACCACAGTGCCATTGCCGGGAACCCAGAAAGCTGGCTGTCTATATATTGAAAAAATTCACAGATAAGTGGACCCATGTTGTTCAAACCCCATGTTGTTCAAAGTTCAAGGGTCAGCTGTATTATTATCCCCATCTACAGATGAGGAGACTGAGGTGCAGCAAGGTGACATATCCTGCCCTCAGCCACACACCTGGTGAGTGGAGTGCTGGAATTTAAACTCGACTTTCTCGTTCCAGGAGTGAAACCACTGGATTCTACTGCTTCCAGAGTGAGTAAGTAAAACCCTCGGAGACAAGGGTCTACCCCATCCAGTGCATCAAACGGAAAAGTGCCAGCCAGCAGACAAAGCTGCTAGGAAATATTCAGACATGCCCACAGGCACTGTGCTGTGTAAGTATTTGACAAGCATGCATTAGCTATTGTTGTATTATTCAATTTTCACAACAACTCAGGGAGGTCGTAAGTGGGGGAACTGAGGCTCAGAGAGGTTAAGTCGCTGACTAATGTCACACAGCCCCTGCAGCCCCGGGCCCACCTCACCTCCGTGTTGGAGAAGTATGTGTTCCAGGTGGAGCGCAGAGCCTCTTGGCCCCCTATGTCCCACATGAGAAAGTGGGTCTTTCGCAGAACAACCTCCTCCACGTTGCTGCCGATGGTGGGACATGTATGGACCACCTCATTCATCAGGCTGGGGGGGTAGGAGAGGGTACCAAGAGCTCAGCCCAGCTCACTCACAGCTCTCACCTCCGACCCCTCCGCTCCTAAGTCGGGCTGAATCTAGTTCCGAAGCAATCAGCCCAGGTTGACCGAGCCTCTGCTGAGCAGGAGTGAGACCAAGTCCTGCTCTGGCTTGGTCCCCAGAGAGGGGAGACTTAATCGAACAGTCTCCCCAAACTTTGATATGCAGTTGAATCACCTGGGAGCCTTGTTAAAATGCAGATTCTGATCCAGTGGGTCTGGGCTGGGGCCCAGCGCTTTGCACTTCTAACAAGCTTCCAGATGCTCCACCGCTGCTGGTCTGTGGGCCACACTTTGAGTAGCGAGGGATTAGACAAACGAGACAGACACTCGTGAGGGCCATCCGAAAGGTGCTCTGGCTACAGTGACATAGAAAACACACACCCTTTCACCTGCAAGGGATTCCTCCGGGAGATCTGGGAAGTCACTCCCTGTGCTCTTGGAGTCAGAGGTGAGAGAGAAACGTCCTTTTCACTGTATACTCCTGTGCTGTTAGGGTTTTTCTTTCCTTCTCATTTTTAAAAACCATTTCTATGTGTCACTTTTTCAGGGGAGAAAATCTGTCCTAAGTAAACACTCGGGAGGCTCCAGAACAGGAGAGATGCCATCCGGGGAGGAATTTCGGGGAAAACTCTGATGGGTTATTACTCAGCACATGTGCCGGACTCTGCCGGACCAGGGGCCACGGAGCCCGGCGGACCCAAAGCTGGCCCTCCCTTAGGGCTGGCAGAAGGAAGGCAAAGATGCAAAGGTGGAGGGAGCGCAGGAGTTGAAAAGAGGGGACCCGCCGCTAGGGGGTAGAGAAGAGCAGGGAGGCGGGAGGAACCTGCCTGCCCACCAGCCTCAGCCTGTAGCCGAGCTTGGCAGGGGCCGGGGGCAGATGGCGGGGCGCAGTGGGGTTGCCCATACCCAGCAGCATTCGAATGCCAGGTCGAGGGGCCACTGATCTGAGTGAGGGGCCACTATCCCAGGAAGGTCCCACTAGCGTTCTCCAAGTCACTCCTCCCGGGAACCCAGGGAAGAGCTCCGGTGATTGGCCCACGTGTTTGTCAGTCTGGTGGAAAAGCACAAGCCCCGCCCCCACCCCGGGAGTCACTTACAACTGGTAGAGGATCGTGGACTTTCCTGCGTTGTCCAGGCCCACGATGATAACCTTGTGCTCTGCAGGCATCCGAGGGGAGGGCAGGGTCAGGGCCCAACGCGATGGCCAAGGGACTGTGGGACCCACCAGACCGCCCACGAAGGAGACAAGTGTCCCCAGCAGGCTGGGGGACTTCCCCTCGGTACCGCTTCTGCTCCCCCGCCCCCA